CCTCTCTCCCCTGACTCTGCATCTTGTATCTGCATTATGCATCGAACAAAGCTCCCCCATTGGCAGAACTACCTGCTCAACCATAAAGAGCAGTATTCTCCTACCATCAGTAGCACAACTCCTTAAAGATAATATTCTGTCTTGATCTCGTAAGGGGTCACATCGTTCTTAGGTCTGGATTATGTAAACTATCAATAGTACGTCATTTGATGTACAGCCCTCTTTCTCTAAAAACTTGTATAACTGTGCCTTGACTTCTAACAGGCAGAACAGTTCTCAGAGCTTTCTGAGTTGCTCTTCCTGGGTTATAATCCTCAAATTTGGCTTGAATAAAATTTTCCATTTTGGGGACTTCCTTGATGGTCCAGTGGTTAGGAGTCCGAGCTTCCACTGCAGGGGACATGGGTTCAATCCCTAGTCAGGGAACTAAGATCCCGCACAGCCAAAAAAAAAATTTTCCATTTTTCTTAGGTTGACTGATTAATTTTTCGTCAACAACCTGTATGAGTTCCCCAGGGCTGCTGCAAAAACTTACCACAAACTGGATGGCTTAAAACAAATTTATTCTCACACAGTTCTGGAGGCTATAAGTTCAAAATCAAGGTGTTGGCAAGGCTGAGGGCTCCAGAGGAGAATCTATTTCATGCCTCTCTTAGCTTATGGTGTTGCCAGCAATCCTTGGCATTCCTTGGTTGTTGGTTTTTTTTTTTTTGCGGTACGCAGGCCTCTCACTGTTGTGACCTCTCCCGTTGCGGAGCACAGGCTCCGGACGCGCAGGATCAGCGGCCATGGCTCACGGGCCCAGCCGCTCCGCGGCACGTGGGATCTTCCCGGACCGGGGCACGAACCCGTGTCCCCTGCATCGGCAGGCGGACTCTCAACCACTGCGCCACCAGGGAAGCCCTCCTTGGTTTTTAGATGCATCACTCCAATTTCTGTTTCCATGGTCACATGGCATTCTCCCGTCTGTCTTTTCTAAGAACACTAGTCAGATTAGGGCCCACCCTAATGATCTCATCTTAATTTGACTACGTTTGCAATGACTCCGTTTCCATATAAGGTCACATTCACAAGTACTGGGGATTAAGACTTCAATATCTTTTTAGGGGGCACAATTCAACCCATAATGTCACTCACAGCAAGGAAAAGGAGATAAAGCTTTAGGCCAGCTAAGGACAGGGAACTAGAACTGAAAGTTTTGCAAAAAGCCAGAACCCAAGGAGTGCAGGGATCTTAGTCATCCTGGCAATTCTGCTGCCTGGAACAGTCCTGATCCTGAGTACGTATGTGCTCATTTGTTTAACTGGGCAAAGAACGGACACAAGTTGGAAGCGTAAAGAAGCCCCTGTGTCCTTGTCTTGTTGAAGTGAGGTTTTTATTTTCTGACAAACAAGGAAAATAAAGGAACAATGAACAGGCTAGAGAAGCAGCATAAACTGGCCTGAAAGAGTTAATCAATCCTAGTTTTATTTTAACTGTTACTGATCTGTAGTGTCTGTAATTAGCTTTGTCCTTCACAAAGCTAACCTCTAAGACTCTCTGACTCTGTGAATTACATCCTGCCCCTGGTATATACACCCCCTACACTCCCTTGTAACAAATAACCCCTTGGAGTGTTCTGTATTTCAGCAAAAAGGTCCTGGGCCAATAACCCAGAGATGAACAGACCCAATTACCCCTGCCTGACGCCAGTTGTGACCATTTTGAAATAAAGCAGAGAGAAGAATGCAAGACCTTCACTACTTTGATCCTTATCACCTACCCCAGACTGCAAGCCCCACCTATAAGACATTTCCTGATTCCCCAGGGAGGAGGGCACAGTTCTTGAGGCGCCAGCCTGCTATGTTCTCTCTTTGCTTGGAAAAGAACAAAGCTACTCTTTCTTTTTCCTCCAAAACTCTGCCTCTGTATTTCTGTTGAGTGTCTGTGCAGAGAGCTAATATTTTGCCATCAAAGTAAAGGGAGGAAGAGACTGAGGTAAGGTTGGAGAGGGCATAAAAGAGACAAGACAGACATTCACTCCCTAGGTCATCACAGGCCACACCCATCCCTCCTGTCTCATGGGGAGGGGGGTGGGGAACTTCACACATTTAAATTCCCTCCTTGGCCCCTAAGGCCTCTTAAATTTATGACTTTAGGCCCTAAATTTGAGGCAGAGTCTGAATGGGTCTCCCAGAACTCGATAGGTCATCTTTTGTCCATAAGTCATCTTTGACGTCTGTTTTCATTGCTTTTTAAATAAATGGGACGTCCCTGGTGGCCCAATGGTTAAGAATCCGCCTGCCAATGCAGGGGACACGGGTTCGAGCCCTGGTCTGGAAGATCCCACATATTGCAGAGCAACCAAGCCCGTGCGCCACAACTACTGAGCCTGTGCTCTAGAGCCTGTGAGCCGCAACTACTGAAGCCGGGGCGCCTAGAGCCCATGTTCCGCAACAAGAGAAGCCACCACAACAAGAAGCCTGCGCACCACAACGAAGAGTAGCCCCCACTTGCCGCAACTAGAGAAAGCCTGCGTGCAGCAACGAAGACCCAATACAGCCAAAAATAAAATTAATTAATTAAAAAATACCAACAAATAAATGTGGGATGAGGTATTCCTTCCCCTTCACACTCCCAGTTAAGGGTGCTCTAGTTAACACCATGGTGCTGTTAGTAAGTTTTTAAATTTTATCTTTTATAATCAAATCATAGTCTGTTCACTCAAACTTTCATAGCAAGGACAGGAGCCGGTCACAATATTGGGCACTGTGGCAGAACAAAGAGAAGACATGCATAACATCTGCCTGACGGAGCCCAGTTAGGGAGGTAAGTATGTTGCAAGGCGTGTGAGTGTGCTAAGGGCAACGATTAATCACAGACTTGCTACTCAGTGTGGTGTGTCCCCCGTCCACCCCCCACTCCCCCTGCCGCCTGCAGCGTTAGCACCATCTGGGAGCCTGTTAGAAATGCAGAATCTTAATCCAGCTCCAGACCTGAGTCAGGATCTTCATTTTAACAAGATTGCTAGCAGGTGATACGTGTGCACATGGGAGCTTTTGTCCAGGAGGCAGAAATTACTTCCTAGCTGGGTGTCCAAGGATGGTATCAATTCAGCCATCATCACCAGGACAAGGCCCTGTGCTGGGCACTGGGGACCTAGAGAAGAAAGAAACACGTCCCTGCCCTCAAGGAGCTCACAGGCTAGCAGGGAGGCAGACAGACAACCACAGGCGTGGTGTAAAGGTAGGGGAGTAGCAGAGTCTGCTTTACAGAGGAGGTGGCTCTGAGATGCTCAACCTCTAATGCTAATAGAGGCATCATTTGTTCTAAGAAAACTTATAAAGCAGGCACAGTTGATCCAGCACAGCACCACTCAATTTCCTGTCGGTTCCAAGTAAGGTAAGAGCTTTCCGATGGGATCATCTTTGCGCTGGGGTTCACACAGCTCTTTGCAAAGTGGCACAGTGCCTCTCAGAGCCTCGCTTTTCACAACTACAAAAATTGGCCAGTTTGAAATTTTAATAGGAGTTATCAGGGTTATCCATGCTTTTATTGGAGCCACAAAGCCACGTTGTGAGAGGATGGCACGTAAGGACTAACATGAAAACTTACTGAATGGAAAAAAACAATGCTGCTGGACAGTATGTGCACTATGAAATCATGTTTAGAAAAATAGTCCCATACATGGTATATGCACTATTTTTTAACGTGTGCTATATATAAAACTATACATATAGAAAAAGTACTGTAATAACTGACTTTCCTGGATAGTGTAATTAGCCTTTATACACTTGAACAGCACTTCATTTTCAAAGAAACGTACTACTTAAACGAAAACATTTTAAAAGTTAAGTACATTGGAAATTGGAAGTAATGTTAATCCCAATTATCTGAGTGGAGTGATTATGGATGAAATTTTCTAATATACTTTCTAAATTTCTTACAATGAGCATATATCCACCAGGGCCTTTTGAATTGTCACAAGCCCTAACCCTAGCCCACTTTCTTGCTGAGTCTGCAGGTCTTTGGCGCCCTCTGCCGAAGTATCTCTAAGGTGCATGTCGATCTCCTGGGGGTCTTGTTAAAAAGTAGATTCTGTTTCAACGGGCGTGGGGCGGGACCTGGGAGTTAGACAGATTCCCAGGGGACCCGATGTTGGACCACACCTAATGACAAGGATTGAAACTGCTAGGCCACGAAGAGTTAGTCTACATCAGCAACCACAGTACCACCGCCACTGTCAGCCTTGGACATCGGTCCAGGACTGCGCCAGGGAAAGGCTAAACCTAACGCGGAAAGGAGCCAACGCCGGGAGAAGGAGGCCTAGGACTCTGGCGGCGGCCCCGCCCTTCTAGGCCCTCGGGGAGCCTCTATTGGCCACCGCACCCACGTGAGCGTCGCGTCACGTGAGGCCGCAGTCCAACGCGGAGTGTGCTCCTCCGAGGGTCCGTGGCTGGCGCAGCGGGCTCCAAGGTGGGATGTCACAGGCCGAGAGGGGCAGTGTGTGCGCAGCCGCCTGCACCGACGCCTCCGCCGGGTTCCCTCCGCCTCTCCGGGCCAACGCGTTGCGGAGCCGCATTTGGGGGCACCTAAAATCTGTTCTCCGATTGGGTTAGTTCGCTTTTCGGGAAGATGCACACCTCCTACATCCACTCTCTACCTTTTTAAATATATATTTATTTATTTATTTGGCCATGCCGGGTCTTAGTTGGGGTACGTGGGATCTTTTTAGTTGGGGCACGTGAGAGCTAGTTCCCGGGACCAGGGATTGAACCCAGGCCCCCTGCATTGGGAGAGTTTTAGCCACTGGACCACCAGAAATGTCTTCTCTATCTCTCTCTCTCTCTCTCTCTTTTTTTTTTTTTGTGGCACGCGGGCCTCTCACTGCTGTGGCCTCTCCCGTTGCGGAGCACAGGCCGCGGACGCGCAGGCCCAGCGGCCGTGGCTCACGGGCCCAGCCGCTCCGCGGCATGTGGGATCTTCCCGGACTGGGGCACGAACCCGCGTCCCCTGCATTGGCAGGCGGACTCTCAACCACTGCGCCCCCAGGGAAGCCCCTCTATCTCTCATTTTGACTGAGAGAAATATTCTGGACATTCCCCCCAATGCTGAGAACTCCTGAACTACCTTCCCATGTCTGCTAAGGTGTACGTCTTTGCCGCTTCCATCCCGAGTCATAGGCCAGCTTCTGCTTGTTAAAGAGGTTTCATTGCATCTGCAACCCAGGGTTAGGCCCTGACCTAAGAATCAGTAGACAGGCTGATTCTTTAGGTGTAAACCTGTTTAGGGCTAACCCAGTGGGAGCTGCCATGCTTGCGGTTGGTATCCTGCTGGCTGTAATTCTTGGAGTAAGTGGTCCAAAGTAAGATGAGTGACTGTGAGCCATGAGGTTTTTCTTGTCTTCTCAGTTGTGCAGCGGACCTTCATAAGCCTTTACGTAAGCAGGCTGGCACTGGCATATACAGTGCTTCTGTGTAAATCATGCAGAGACACTCCTTCCTCAAGACACTATATATTCAGTTGCTGGGAAACTGTTAATGAGAAATGAGAGTATTAGGTTTAGATGGACACCATCCCCCCAGAGGAAGCAGCTCTGTCTGCAGGCAGGTTTAAAACTCAAAACCAAGCAAGCGGTCTGCATATCCTTTGTGTAGGAGGCTTCTTGAAGGTCCTCTCTTCTCTCAAGGCTCTCCTTTAAAAAAGAAAGAAATCTGCAAGTTCTCCAAGTGATGCTTGGGATCGCCATTCAAATAGTCCCAGGTGTGGTTTCCCCAGGAATGGCTGTGTCCTGGTTCAGAGCAAGGAGCCACACTGCCTGGGCTTGAATCCTGGCGGCTCCCCCCAGCTGTGGCACTTTAGGCAAGTTACTTAATGCCTCAGGATTTTTATCTGTAAAATGAAGTTAAGGAACAAATGCAAATGTACTTAAAACAATTAGCAGAGGGCCTGGCACACAGTAAAAGCTCAAGAATGCCCAATGGGACCGGCCCGAGTGGGATGTAGCCTTCACAGCATGGCGGGGAGACAGGACTTATACATGCTTTACCTGCTCCCGGGAAGTGAGGACTCTGCCCCTGATTTACTCATCCCTCATATCGAGTAATAAGTACTTGGCCCTCTGGGATTGAACTTCAAGCCTTGGTCACTATGGGGGCAGTAAGAGACTGGTGTTCAATAGAAAATAACTGGATAGGAATTCGCATTTGACCTCGGCCCAAGGTCACATGGCTGGCAAGATGGCCAAATATGGGTCTTCTCTGAGGTTGTTTCAGGTGTAAAGTGGGTGTGCGCCCTGCTGAGGGTTAAGTGAAGCCCTGTGCAGGAAAGCTCTGAGGACCCCCAGGCTGTGGTGGCCCAGCTGCCAGCAGTAACCATGACCCTGGCTGCTGTGAGGGGGTCTGCCGGTCATGCTGCCCAGGGCTGGCCGTGGCTGCAGTGACACTTTCTCCTGCAGGTGAACGTGGGCTTCTGCGTCTTAGGCATTATTGTGATGGCTACCACCAATTCTCTGATGTGGACGTTCTTTAGCCGGGGCCTCAGTTTCTCCATGTCTTCAGCCATTGCATCTGTCACAGTGACTTTTTCAAATACCCTCAGCTCGGTGAGTAGCCTGAGCGTACAGTTTCTCTGTCCCAAACCTGGGCTCTGGGAGGGTTCTGGGTGGGTTGTCCTTGGGCAACCCCTGCTTCTACATAGGAGAAGGGCCAGGAGCTGAAGCAGAGGTTGGGCTGTGTCTTGACTCCCGGTGGCTGCTCCTCTAATCTCTAACTTGGAGGAATTCTCAAGTTAGATGGGGATGAAGTGCAACTGTCAAAAGCCTACTTGCTTGCTGCTCCTCAGGGGTCTGTGAACTCAGGCAGGAGATGTGGAGGGTCGAGGTTCTTCTCTCCCAGGTGGGGCTGAGCCATTCAGCCCTGCAGTCCAGGCAGGGAGGACTTGGTGGACCAGCTGTGTGCTGGGCCTGGCTGCCGGCCTCTGCTGGGCTTTCTTGTGCACTTTGCTGGGTTCGATGCTGTGAGGAGGTACCCTCCCCACTTCTCCAGGTGAGATACGCTGAAGGTAACAGATGGGTTTCAGGCCCAAGACTTCCAGCTCCAGACCTTTCCTCCCACCCTAGGAGGGCACTCAGCCACAGGGGAGTCAGGTGGTGCCCACCCACCGTGGTCGCATCCTGCGGGCACGTGCCTGCCCAGCCTCACAGCTCTCTCTGTCCTGCAGGCCTTCCTGGGTTTTGTGTTGTATGGAGAGTGCCAGGAGGTCTTGTGGTGGGGAGGAGTCTTCCTCATCCTCTGCGGACTCACCCTGATCCACAGGGAGCTCCCACCACCCAGGAAGGCTCTTCCACACAAGCAGCAGTAGCATCAGCGGGCTGGGCGGACCCGCTGGAAAGACAGCGATGGCGGCTCAGGCTCGGGTTGGCGTGTGGGGACTGCTTCTCAGGGCGATCTGGGTGCGCAGCCTTCTGACCCTCGGCCAAAGAGAGATGCTTCCCAGGGAACCAGGCCTGTGACCGAGCAGCCTTGCGGGTGGACAGCTCCGGCTTCTGTCAGGGGAAGTACACCGCAGCAGTGTTCTGCCCGAAGCCTTCTCGGTCCGTCTGCTCGGTGCTGTTGATTCTCATGCTCCACAACCCACCCAGTGAGCCATGGCAGGTGTGGGAGACCCTGGGGTTGGTGGGCTTCCTGTATGGACTTGAAACCATGCTGTAACTGCAGTCCTGTTGCCTAACAAAGGCCAGTCATGGAATTTTGGAATCAGTGACTGGTGGGGCTTTCGACAACTTCACACCGATATATCAGGCCGTCAGCGTCATGCTTCTGGATTATGGCAAGAGAAGGAAAATTAGATTAATAAATACTTTTTTTGTAAGTTAAAACTGCCAGGTGTGGAATCTTAATTCTTTCCTACTTTTTTTCCTTTCCTAAGTTTTTGGAGTAAGAGCAGCCAGGGTGAGCTGCAGTTCCCGGAGGGGGAGTTGAAACTCCTCCCGCCGCTTCCAGACCTGCGGCCTGACTGCTCTCTTCCTGCGTGGTTCCTTCCTGACTTCACGCAGGCTGGTGCTCTTCAAATTCAGGAGCATCTGTCCATTCTCTTGGTCCCAAGGAGAAAGGCTTGACCTCACTTTGGGGGCCTAGTTTTATTTTACTTATTAGAAAAGGAAACTGGCCCAGAGGTTGCTCCCACCCCCTCATGTTACCTCTTCTGCCTTTTGGTCCCATGACATTTTTGTATCTTACGCCACGTGAATCTAATTCCTAGTTCAAAACAGTCTGTTTGCTGCCTGCACCCTCTCGCCGTGCATAGCTTCAAGTGCGATGCTCACCTGCCCCAGTTCCCCGGGGCTCCCCTGGCTGGCTGAGAGCCCTCTCAGCTCTCCTGAGCCTGACTGCCGGCCCCAGGAGGTCTCCTTTCACATCCCCTGCAGGAGGGAGGGCCTTCTTAGCCACGAGGCTGGGGGAGAGAAGGGTCGTGTCCAGCTGGCCCCTCCTCCCCACGCACATAGCACCTTCATTGCTCTCCTCCATTACTCGTGGCAGTGGCCGGATGCTCTCCAGAGCTGTTCTGTGACTCCCAGTGACTTTGCTGTGGCCCAGCCCCCTCTCCAGCTGCTCCCTTGCTGCCTCCTTCCCTCCCCCACTCACCGTGCCTGAGTCACCCACACGTCTGCATCTCAGCAGTTCTCGAGGCCACCACAGCCAGTTGTGCCTCCATGCTTTTGTGCCTGCTTTTCCCTTTGCGTTGGATTCTCTCCTCCTTCCCCTGTCCCTGAAAAACTCCTCCTTCATATCCAACAGGGCACAATTTGCTGTGCTCTCTGAGCTCCCACAGGGGCCAAGGCCAAGCTGTGAGTCACAGAATGGTAATTGACTAGCCCCACTTTGACACATTGAAGCGTCCCAGCCTCACTGGGAAGGGAGATACTCTTGTTACTCTCATTTTAGAGGTGAGGAAACTAAGGATCAGAGAGGTTGGATCATTTGCCCAAGGTCACACAGCTAATGAATGCCTAAATCACTGTGTGACTCCAGGGTTCAGCTCTTAATCCATATAAGCATCCTGCCTCCCCCTTCAGCACGTTAAAGCCCCGGAGAGGTCCTGTGGACAAGGAGCCTGTTTTCCAGTGTCTAATAGCACTCCTCAAGTCTCACCTCCTACCCCTCTGAAGGTGATGCTCCCTGGAACACTCTTCACAACTCCATGATCAAATCTGACCCCATTATTCTACCTGTGAGGAAGATGAAGACCATTCAAGGCTCTGCAGGGTGTGTTCACATATGTGAGTCAGGCACCCTGCCAAGGCCAGACGTGAAGGCTGCTGAGAGCTGGTGGCCGGGCCTCCCTGAGCAGTTCACGAATAGGGCAAGAAGAGGTCCATCTCAAAGCAGACGTTGTCCTGAGGGGACCCAGCCTCCCATCCAGACGCCTGCTGGATACATAAAGATGCTTGGTGCTGACCCAGACCCTCTCACTCTCAACAGATGTGCCTGTAGGAGACCACGGGACACAATGAGATGTTTGTCTAAGAGGAAGGTTTGTCATTTTTCAAAACGCAGAGAGACACGTGTCTCCACCTAAGAAGATGAGGAAGTGTTCACTGTGTCTCTTTACTCATTTCAGAGGTATCGTATCTTTTTTTTTTTTTTTTTTGCGGTACACGGGCCTCTCACTGTTGTGGCCTCTCCCCTTGCGGAGCACAGGCTCCGGACGCGCAGGCTCAGCGGCCATGGCTCACGGGCCCAGCCGCTCCGCGGCACGTGGGATCTTCCCGGACCGGGGCACGAACCCGTGTCCCCTGCATCGGCAGGCGGACTCTCAAGCACTGCACCACCAGGGAAGTCCTAGAGGTATTGTATCTTGATACGAGAATGAACTGTGTATCTGTATTTGTCTCTCTGGTGTGCACCCTGGATGATGGGTTGGAGTTTGTTTGCTCTGGAGCTGACAGTTTGACGTCCAGGTTCAACAGCCAATGGCCTGATAGGTCAGTGTTACTATTTTTTTTTTCTGGTTTTAAAATTTTACTTATTTCTTTTTTTAATGTGTATAATTCAGTATTTTGTTACTATATTCACAAAGTTTTCAACCATCACCACTGTGTAATTCCAGAACATCTTACCACCACAAAAAGAAACTCCCACACCCATTAGCAGTCACTCTCCATGCCATGGTACCCCAGCCCCCTGGCAATCAAATCTGCTTTCTGTCTCTATGGATTTGCCTATTCCGGACATTTCATAGGCATAGAATCATACAGTATATGGCCTTTTGTGTCTGGCTTCTTTCATTTAGCCTAATATTTTAAAGGCGCATCCATGTTGTAACATGTATCAGTACTTTATTTCTTTTTATGACTGAATATTATTCCATTGTGTGCACGTACCACATTTTGTTTAGCCATTCACCTCGTGATGGACATATGGGTTGTGTCCACTTTGTGGCTATTGTGAGTAATGCTGATAAGAATATTTGTGTACAAGTTCTTGTGTGGACTTGTCAGATTAGAAATAAGCTTATAGCTTCTGATACAAGAAGACAAGATTTTGCTCCTGCAGATCTGTGGATGTGAATTTACTAACTCCTCCTTGTCTCCACAAGAAAGGGAGGAAAATGTATCAGGATGCAACATCTTTATGATTTAGACAGGGCCTCGCCTCCCTTCTTCCTCAGAACCGGGAGATGCTCACAGAGGTCGGTCGGGGGCAGGTTTGAATCCCCAAAGCAATGCTGACGAGGCTCTCCTTCCAAAAGAGACTACCAGCTTCCTTTGGAAGAAGAGGACATAGTTTTCCCCCACCTCTGGGAGGCGCGCCCGTGCCATAAGCACACAGCGACTTAGGCCCTACTGTGTGCCAGGCGCTGGCGGCACTGAGAGATTCGTGGTGCAGAGCCTTTCCTCACACATTATCCCAGTTAAACAACAGCTCTCTGAGCTGCTCACCTGTTCGTTGACGCGTGCATTCATTCATCTGTTGAGCACTGACCGTGTGCCAGGCCATGGGCTGGGGACACAGAAATGAGAAGATTCCATTCCTGGCTATAAAATCAGTCCCCTGTGAGTTTCATTTTGAAATGTATACCCGTCTCTCACCCCTCCTGTTGTTTTCAGGCCCTTCCCTGCCTTTCTCTCTTCTCCCTTCTCTTCATCCCGTCATCTCTGGGTTAATGTGAAATTCGGTCCATGCCTATCTTTCTAGGAGAGTTTGCATTTTGAACTTCCTGTCCCATGGTAGGGCCTGAAGCCTGTCCTCTCTGTGAGTAGAGAGCAGAGGGTCTTAAGTGGGATGTCCCTGACCCCAATATCCCAGGAGTTGGCTGAGATCCATCACTTGGGAAGGCCAGACCGTGGCGTGGTTTGGGAGCTGCAATACTGGGGCCTCAGAGTCCCAGTGGCCTGTGACCAGACCCTGGTGTCACCTGTGCCAGGCAGGGAACGTGAAAATAGATGACTCTTTGGGACCAGCTGATGGATAAAACGCCATCACACAAGGAACTGAGTTAGAGCCACATCTCCTGAGGCCCAGAAGTTCTGGGCAGGAAGAGAGAAGGAAGGCGTGCTGGGTTCCTCTCTGCACTGCCACTTTCCATCTGTAAACTGAGGATGTCAGAATGGACACTCTCTCTAAGGTTCCCCGTAGAGCTCATTTTCTGTAGAGTATTTGGAATTGCCCTCACCTGATTACAGCACCCTTTACTGAGCCTGGCACCATAGAACCTGCTTTAGACACATGACCTCCTACTCCCCCAACAGACCTGTGACATGGGTGTTCTTATCTCCATCTTCCAGATGAGGTGATGGAGGCACAGAGAGATTGAGTAACTTGCCCAAGGTCACACAGCAGGTCTGTTGAGGGAACCAGGACTCAGGACCAGTTCTGTCTGACCCCAAAGTCTGTTCCCCTTGGTTGCTTTTACACTCACTCTGGCTTGGAACCAGAGAAAGTTCATCTTGTTCAAGCCCCTCACTGGTCAAAGGAGATGAAGGAGGCCCAGAGAAGTGAAGCAGCTAAAACCCAAACCTCCTCCCTCCCAGGCCAGGATGCTTTCCAGAAGGCTTCTCTTTGTTTCTGTTCTAAATAGTGAATTTAACTTTTGAATAGGTAATTCATGCACATGGTGCTAAATTCTGATGATGGAAAAGGAAATACAGAGAAAAGTAAGCATCCCCCTCCCATCCCTGAGCCCCCAGAGCAGGACCAGGGCCTCCCTGCAGACAGAGCCCAGCCCCAGGTTTTTGTAAGTGCTGTGTGCACTAGGGCTTGGTTTCTTTTATTCGGAGGATGGCAGAAAGCTGCTGACCCGGTTCTCATTATTCCAAGTGACCGGGGTACCTCTGCCTCTCCTAATGGCAGCAAAGGTGACTGTCGGGTCCTGGGTACCTTACTCGTTTTTGTTTCAGCTGCGTCACAGGACGTGTGGGATCTTAGTTCCCCAAGCAGGGATCGAACCCACGCCCCCTGCATTGGAAGCACAGAGTCTTAACCACTGGACCGCCAGGGAAGTCCCTGGGCACCTTACTCAGTCCCTTCACTTCTCAGGCGAGGAATCAAACAAAGCCGACCTTCCCAGGGACATGCAACGCGTTACTGCAGGGTTGGGGCTCCGTCTCAGATCCCCTCTCCCCTGGTCTGGGACTTCTGCTGCCACGCCAGGCTGGCTCCTTTCAGTAGAATTAACATCACTTAAGAAAATGACAAGTGCCCCTGTGGACAGCAGAGCATTAATGTCTATCAATATTACAAATGTTTAAGCTCTTTGGCCCAACATTTCCACGTCAATGCATTAAATCCTTCCTATAGATAATACACATATACAGGTAAAATGATCTCTGTACAAGCTTATTCTTTGCAGTGCTGACTGTACTAGGGAGATGTTGAAAGCA